AGAAGTTAAATGACCTGGTAGCACATGGTAACATGGTAGCACCTTCAGTTATTCAAAAATAATTAATTATTGAATAACCTAAAAACCATGAGACTTTGTCTCCGGACTCTTTGAGTTGAAGTTCTGAGGTCATTTATTTTTGTCAGCAATGAGGTCATGAATGAGGTCATGAATGAGGTCATTCGTGATAAAAATAAAGCTAGCGTAGATTTTACAATACTGCGATGGTAGAGTTTAAGAGTTGTGCTTCAATGTAGAGACAGTCCTTATGGTCTGGAGGTAAGAACACTGGACATTTATGGTCATGAGTGGAGAACATGTCTATCCAAAACTCACGATTGAAGCCAGTTAATTTATAGTATTTAGGATTTGGCAGTGGTGAAGTTCTTGTATGACCAATGAACTCATTTTCAACTCCCTTACTTAAGTTTGAATATAATATAGCTTGCTTTCTATCCCAAATGCCAGGTGTTACAATCTTTGAAAATTCATTTTTCCTCGGAAGCATTGCATCATAATTGAAAACATTCTTAAAATCATCACTTGGTTCAGAGATTTGAAACCTTATACGTAATGGATTTTTTTTCTCTTTAGCGACTTCATTGAATGGTGAGAATACAATGAATTGACAGTCATGAGTTCCATCTTCATTTTTCATTAAATTCATAATGAAAGTCTATAAGTTGTGGCTGACTACCTTCTTCTTTCAGTTGTGCAGAAACTCACGTAAAGGCTGTAAAGTTTGTACTTCAATGTTGAACTTTTTCTCGAACATCTCATTAAATGAAATCATACATTGCAACAATGTTGTATCGTCTTTAAAGTATTTGTATATGTGAATGTTTGGCGCTTAAAGACTGTTCGTCATTTTCTATCTCGGACTTGAAGTATAAAGTCAACCTTTCTGAAAGCACGTGTTAGTATACATAGATGTTATGCCAATGTACTTCTCTTCATTTATGTTCACAATCCAGTCTGTTGGAAACTTAAACGTTACTCTGTTCCCCTTTATTTTGACGTCAGGGTTTTCACTTACTGAACGCAACAGATAAGGTATTTGTCTATACATTTAGTTTTGGATAAAAATAAACCATTACTCTTTCTTTGCTTCAGCTTCTTTAGCTTTTGCTTCAGCTTCTTCTCTAGCTTTCTTTGCCAGCAAACGTGGGTTCTTTTGTCTTCCAGCAGCTAATGCAGCAAGTTGTTTTTCACTAAGTTTTCTCTTGGTCTCTCTGGCTTTTGTTCTTGTTTTTGTTCCTTCAGTTCGGATAAAATTTGCTCGCGAATTTCTTTCTTCAATGCTTCAACATCTATGACCCCTTGGGTGTGTCCGTAGGGCTTGTCTGAGTCATTTGACTGTAGTAAAAAACTAAATTAAAAACTTTAACCGATGTAAAATGAGCTTGTCAAAATCAGAACGAGAGTCTATTATATTAAATGACGCCAGAGGAATACAACATCCTTTCTATTATGTAAGTCAGAGTAAAGATGGTAAAATATATGTAAGAAAAAGAAAGGTTCCATTAGCGAATACAGAGAGCGACAACATTAAGGTGCATGGCAAGGGCGAAGCCACGAAGCCCATATAAAACCTTCTGTTCAAACTGAAAAGTCAATAGAACAAGAAGAAAAGAAGCCAGATGTTCTTCTTCAATAACGAACCAAGAGCTTATTGCAAAGTTCGTGAATTTCATTGAAAAGCAAACCGAGTCAAAGAACCCTGACCCGCCAGTGAAAGAAGTTGAGACAAAAGAGAATGTACAGTTCATTGAAAATGTCAAGAAACAACTTCCACCACGAATGCCAAGAAGAAGAGTGAGAATAATGAAGTAAATAGATATTTTTATCTGAAGTAAATACATGCAGAACGAACAGCTAAACGAATTTACTCCAGCAGAGCATATTCATCAGATTCGCTCATATTTCGATATCATAGACAATGCAGTTCAAATTGGTGACACTAATAGAAAATATTCTGACGCAAAGATTCCATCACAACCTGGAACTGCTAAAGATAACACATGGGTAACATTCAATCTCTCACCTCCTGGTGAAAATATGTTGGACCTTTACAATACATTCATTACGTATAAAATGGAAGGTCAATTTATTGTAGATAAAGAAATTGGTTCAGGTTCCAATAAAACAAACCCACCAGGATTTTGGATTGGTTTCGATGACGCTTTCTATGCAGTTGCTGGATATCAAATCCTTGCAAATGGTCGTATCGTATATTCTCAAGACAACGCAAGAGAAGAAGCATATATAACTTCAAACTCACAAACTACCGAACAAATAAAGAAAGTAGATGTTTTCTCAAAGACTCGACATGAAGATGTATGGAGTCATTCGGAACATGCAGAACAGGACAAATTGTTAGTGGTCCAATTACAGCAGGAAAATCATTTGATTTTAAGCTTCGTTTAAGAATTCCTGTTAGAAGATTCCTTCCATTAGAAGCTATTCGATTTATTCCAGCTTTTGCAGGAAACATTCAGCTTAAAGTAAAGTTCAGTAGCGACGCCTTACAATGCACATCTATATCTGTAAATGATATCATTGCTTTCAATCCAACTCTTAAAGTTGCATTTGCTTCAGATTCAAATCCACCGACAAATAAATTTGTTCCATGGAATGAACCATTCACTATGATAACGAAGGCAGTAGAAGCTAGTGGAACAGTTACTATTACAACTGTAAACCAGCAACTATTTCGAACAAAGATGGATTTTAATGAATGTTTCATTCATCCAAAGTCATTCTCTTTAGACCCTAACATTTATACAGAACTTGTAGAACATTATACAAACGAGGCTTTATGTTTTCCTGTTAAAGTTATGGATTGGATTCCTATGGACGGTTCATTCTCAAAGAATACAGATAGTTCAAGTGCAACATTTACAGCAGCTTATACGCCTATTAATGTTAAAAGTATTTGGGCACTATTTAGAAAGAAAGACAACTATTATGTTAATTTTGAGAACCCTAAGTTTAAATATCTTCAGCTTTCCATGGGAGCTTATGGAAATATGCCTGCAGAACCTGAAAAATCATATGGACCTGTATTTTATGAAATGGTTGCGAACGCTTGCAATACAAACAATGATATGATAGGATTTAATGAAGATGTTATGAGGTCATTGGTGGATGATGGTAGTGTGGAACATAAATGGGATAGCTATGACAACACACATTTCTTATGTGGTTTTCCAACAGAAGTGGACTTTTGCTTCCAGCAAGGTCAAACATCTACTGCTCCAATAACATACAAATTGTCTGTTAAAGGACCTATTGAACTAGCAACTGAAAATGTACCAAAGCCACTTATTGGATTTATGAGGGATTGTTGCTTTGCAATACAAGTAAGACAGTCAGGCATACCAATAATAAGACTTGACGACTATAACTTAGCAGCGGACGACAGTGAGGAATAAAGGATGAACGTTTATTTTTAAAGCTTATAAATGAGTTCTTCATCAAGCTCTCGTGAACCTTCACCATCTATGAAACAAACTTTACCAAACGATTATGGAGCACCTATTGAATATTTCTTACGAGCTGCACAATGGCAAAGAGCAGTCTCACCAAGGTTAGGTGTTCCACCAGCTCCTGTCAAAAATAGCATTTGGTCAAGTCCTTATATAAAATATGGTCTCCCACTAGGTTTGCTAGCTACAGCAGGAGCAGTTATGATGTTGAAAAGAAACAAAGCAAATGTTATAAATAATACTGAAGTAGCTGAATTTGAACAAACTCCGACACCATCACAAGCAAAACCTTCAATGACTCCTGAACCTATGAAAGTACAAACTCCTGTTCAAAAGTCAACTCCTAAACCGACTCCAACATTTAAACCAGAACCTACTCCTCAAATAAATCGTAAAACTCCTGCGTTTCCTTACTGAAAAAATAACGTTATTTTTATTTAATATTAAAATTTTTATTTGATTGAAATGACGACTAAAGTCACTGAAGCAATGAAACAAAAGTTTTTGGTAGAATACATTAAATCAGGAGCGGTTCCAGAAGGTTTTTACGTTCATACTATGAAGGATGGTAGAGTTCAGTTTAGAAAGATAAAGCAACCATTAGATAGAGAAGGTATATTAAGGAAGATTAAACTTCATGAGGACAACATTGCTGAACTTAAGAAGAAGTTAGAAGAGTTGGAGAAAGGAAGAGAGTTATAAAGTAATGAATTCAAGTGGGTGAAAAAAGAGGTGAAAAAAGAGGTGACATCTCACCACTTCACCTAAATTTATTTTTGTGCTATGTTTTCATACGTGTGAGGGTGGTGATATCATTAATTCTTAAGTTTATTTTTATATTTTACTGAAAATTTTTATTTGGATGTAAATGACAGAACAAAAGCAACTCATTCGAATTCCACAGTATAACAAACATACATTTAAACATTTATTCTTCCTTCCTGAGCATAACATGTTCTTTCAAATACATCCGAGACCAGTTGACTTTTCATTGACTGTGTATAAAGATAGAAATAGTTATATCATTAAACCATACGATGACGAAGGTAAGTTATGTAAATTGTACGTTAAGAAGTTAGAGAAAGTTTATGGCTTCAAGTATGACTACAATAGGGTTAACACTGATGATGAAGATATTGAGGAAAATTTATGAGAACATTAGTGAAGTCGTTAGTGAGAACGATAGTGAGAACGTTTATTTTTACATTAGTGAGTTCGTTAGTGAAGTGAAGTGGGTGGTGGTTTTGTAAATATTTAAGGTTAAGTTAGTGTTGTCGTTTGTGTTGTAAAATATATGTTAACGGTTTCGTAAATATTTAAGGTTAAGTTGGTGTTGTCGTTTGTGTTGCAAAATATACGTTAACAGTTTTGTAAATATTTAAGGTTAAGTTAGTGTTGTCGTTTGTGTTGCAAAATATACGTTAACAGTTTTGTAAAGTGTCAAATTCACAAGTATTGGGTAAGGAAGCGCGCAGTGCCTCAGTACACGACTTAACCATACTAACTCTACTTTCACTTTGTTCTACTCTTCTTCTTTGGTGTCGCTTTTGGTAACTTGCCCTCTGCTTCAAGTTGTTGCATCTTTGCCTCATGTTCACCTAGTATGTTGTAAATTTCCCATGTCCTTTTTGCCTTTGGGCTCTGGTCGCCCATCTCAGGTAACCTATATCCTAGAAAGATTTTGTCATAGTTTGTATTTGAGTCTTCGCGTATTGTTTGCATGACTCTTTCCTGAGTTTCCGGTTCAAGCTCTTCAAACAGAGCTTGTCCATATGGAATAAGCTCGTTTCCAAATATATGTTTTTGTAGCCATTCTGGTTTTCTTTCCATGTTACCAATAATATCTTTTGTGAATGGGAAAGCTTTTACCCAATGTTTCAGTCTTGCGTCATTTATTTCTGTAGTTGATTTTATTTTGTCAAGGAACATGTTTTTCAATACTAACATTTCATTTGGTACTGTCCATTTGAGTTTTCTTAAATATTCATCCATTCTCGGTTCATTGTCTGCAAAGTAAGTTTTTATGACATTTTGCAAACTTTCGTTTGCAAGGTCATGTACAATAGGTTCTCTTCCTTCTCTCTCCCTAACTTTCTTTCTAAACTCTTCACCAAATATACCATCTCTATGGTTCTGTGTAGTTCTTTGAGATAAATGTTCTAGAACGTCAGGTGTTATATTTCCATCAGCCATGTTCATTTCATACTGGTCCAAAATATCTGCATCTTTCATATCTTTCAATGGCATTAAAGCCGCGCTGAAAATACCAGCTATATCTGGTTCACCATTCACTTCCATTGCGTCTACAACTTCTTGGAATTGAGGTTGTAAGTTTATGAACCACCTATCCGGATTAGCTTTATGACCCCATCTCATTGTAGTTCCATAGTCTGCAGAAACAAAAGTAGGTTTGTTTCCATATTGGTTAGGTTCTGAATGAACTTTAAACAATGTTTCATTTCTATATGTTTTGTTGAAATTTAACCTTTTATTTTCACCGAGTTCAGCCAAAGATTGAACGTTATATGGTCGTAAGTAAAAAGGATTATTGTATTTGCGTACATTTTCTTTCAGTACTTCCATTCTATGCTGAATATTTTCATCTGATGTTGGAGTCTTTTGTATGTCGGCGAACATTTTTCGATATTCTTCTACTATGTCAGCCGAATTTTTCTTAGACTCTTGGAAAGATTCCATATTCTCCGCATACACTTGTTGAGGGTCAAGATTTTTCGGCTGTTCCAAATCTTCATCTAGTTCTGTGAAGTTAGTTTCCAAAGGAGGGACTTGTTCGTTTCCTTCAGGCTCTTCTAGCTGTTGTTGCTGAACTATTTCTTCCATGTCTGGTTGTATCTGAACTTCTTCCTGTGGAGTTTCTTGTACCTCATCTGCTGGCATTTCATATATTCCGAGACCGTTTTTAAAAAGTTCCCTATCTAAGTCATCCGGACTCATAAACCTTTCTTCTTTCGTTCCGTCTCTATTTTTTACGCGTTTCATGAAGAGAGTTGAATTATCATTTAGCTCTGACACCAAATATCTCGGAGTAAATTCATTCATGTCATTTGGATGATATGCTATTAAATCATATCCCTTAGCGAGCTTGTATTTTCCAGGTTTGAAATTATATCCCATTTGATGCTGAACCATAAAGCTAAATAGGTTCGGGTCAGTATTTCCTTCCTTGAACTTTCTAATAGCTTCTTTATATCTGTCACTAAAGTCAAGAGTATCTGGGTAACCATAATCTTCCTTAAGCATTTTTAAGAATTCTTGGTTTCCTTTTTCTCTACTTCTTTTATGTCCTTGCTCTGTTTGTGGTTGTTGTTGTGCAGGGTTTTGAACTGTTGGTTGTTGTGCTGGTTGTGGAGGTGGTTGTTGTGCAGGGTTTTGAACTGTTGGTTGCTGTGTTGGTTGTTGTTGTGGTGCTGGATTTTGAACTGTTGGTTGCTGTGCTGGATTTTGAACTGTTGGTTTTGGTTGTTGTTGTGGTGCTGGATTTTGAACTGTTGGTTGTTGTGTTGGTTTTGGTGCATGCCTGTGTCTGTGTCCATGTGACGATGTAAATGTTTTAGGTAGTCCTGGTGCAGGTGCTTCTCTTGGAGGGTTTGGTGGTATATAAGTTCCACCAGCTGGCACATATGTTCCATCTGCAGCATAATGTCCTACCTGACTTTTCGTTTTTAAGAAAGCATTTACTAGGTCTGTTTTGGTCTGTTGTAACTCTTTTTCTTGACTTTCCACAACAGTTGCTCTAACGGCGTCATAGGCACTTTGAACTGCCTGTCTCGTTGCTGCATCTGTTATTTTCGTCATATTTTGTGCTACTTCTCTTAACTCTTTGTCGAAACCTTCAGACTTCAGTTTCTTTCCAGATGAGAAGTCGTTCACTAGTTTCACCTTACTATGAAGAGCTTCGAAGGCATTCTTAAAGTCAGCATTCATTAAAGCTTCATTTGAACTGTCTTCATCCGCTTGTATTTTTGTCCTTATTGACCCTATAAGTTGGACTGCTTTAGCGTTGGCTTGGGCATCTAACCAGTCATTATTAGCTTTTATATATTCTGCGCTTTTCATTGCCTTTTGCATGGCTGCGTCGTTATTTTTACTTTCTTGTGCTAAGTTTTCATACTGTACGGTTTGGTTTTGCAACTGTAAAAGTTTTTCTGCCTTTACATTTGCTTCAACTTCTTTTTTATACTCATCGCTATCCATATATGTCTTCAGGGCTTTTTGTTTTATTTCTTCATCTTCAGTACTTTATATTGAGTAGTATGGTTTTTCAAATTTATAACATCTTGTTCCATTTTTGCTAATTCTGCTGCTTTTTCTGACACTTTTTTCGCATATTCCTCTGTACTTAGTTCTTTCAGTTGTTCTTCTTTCTTTCTTTTTCTCTACGTTTAACTCATTGAGTTTCTTTGTGTGTCTGTCATATTCTAGTTTCTTTTCGTTTTCACTTATTTGTTTCTGTATGTCTATGTTTGACTTTTTGACATCTGTTATTTGATTTTTGAGTGAACTCAAATTCATTTGACTTTGAGGGTTATAAGCTGTTCCGTCTGCAGCTCCACCATAGCCTGCCATTTTCGCTAAAAGTGCCGCTCTTAAACCTCCACTCTGTGCACCAATAACTCGGTTTAAAAGCATAGGGTTGCTTGACATTTGTTGCAGCATAGTGGGGTCATTCATCATTTGTTGTTGCAACTGTTGTTGTGGTGTCAGTTTTACTATTGGATGTTTCAATGCTCCCTTCCTCTTACGTATATTCTTACGTAGCTTACGTGGCATTTTAAGTGAAGTAAAAAACGGTTTTTGACAGATGTTTATATGACACTTTTTGTTCAGCACAAAAAACTACTCGGTCAAAGTGTTGTCAGTTTTGTAAAATAACCGTCCTATCTCATTCTATAAGGGGAAAAATGCTTCTCAAAGTATACTTCCTTGGAACGCCTGTAACTTTTCCTGTAGCGACAATAGACCCTTACTTGTCCGGACAAAGTTATACCATTTTGAGTGCTCTACAAAAAAGTCAACGGCTGGCTCGTCCTCAGAAATTTTTTATGGGCTAGAGGGCGCAACGCGCCTGGAAGCCCTCCGAATAAAAACTTCATTTATACTAAACATCTTCGGGGCTAGAGGGCGCAACGCGCCTGGAAGCCCTCCGAATATAAACTTCATTTATACTAAACATCTTCAGGGCTAGAGGGCGCAACGCGCCTGGAAGCCCCACTACCTTTTTTTTTGGATTATCATTTCATACTGAATCATATTAAAATGTCGAGTTCTTCGATCACTCTTTTAATTTCGCCCGATAAAAATCTCTCAATTACTCACCTTATACGCAATTGAGAGTAATAAATAAATATCATGAATGATGCTATAAAATCACTGAAAGACCTTGCAGAAAAGAAGAATCTTTTCCCAGCAGAACGCATCATATGTACAAATGTTATAAATTTAGAAAAATCAATGAAAGATTCTCTAACTGAAGAAAATTCAAAAGATTCAATTAATGCTCTTCAGTCAGTGCTTGAAATCAACTCCGGAAACCTAAGTTTACAACTGTCATGCAGAATAGAACATGGTATGGCACTAATTACATCAAAATTTCCTCAAATAAATTTGGATGAAATTATTAAAAGCTTTATAGCGAAACCAACACCGGCAAAAGTTTATGTAATAGGTATGCTATTTTACGAAAATGCTGCTAAATGCATAGATATAATTCCTGATCTAATGAAAATAAAAATGGAGGAAAAACATCCAATTTTTTATGCAATTGAAACAATTTTCGCGAAAAACTTACCAGGATTAGAGCCATTTATTAAAAATGTTTTAGAATATTTAAAACAAAATTCAAATACAACAAATGAAGCAGCACAGTTCTATATGGTTCAATTGATGATGAAAATAATACGAATTAAGCAAGATACAGAGAACGAGCTCGTTGAAATTGCGAAAATAATTATGAATAACGCAACATCACGTTTTGTAATTGATTATATATGCCGATTACTCGCCTTTATTGGATGCTCGTCATTAAGAGGCGGTACTAAGCCAGAAAGCATGAAACACGCTTTATATTTCATTTGTATCTTTCCAAATTACATCCATAAGACGTTCGGACACTTCTTCCATTGTTTGAACATCGAATACATACAATATCATATTGAAACTTTGACTAATTTTGTTATTGACTACTGTCCCTCCCAATTTCCTTTACTTACATGCGTTTTAATGCCAGAGCATCGTAAGAGTTTGTACACTTTCTTCGAAAACAACGAAAATTTCAGAACAAACTTAGAAATTTTCGATACTCTCGCTTGGGATGAGCAAACATCATTTAATGTTGCTGGATTCGCTTTCGATATGGTCTCCTCGAAGGATGAAGCACAAAGAATTAAAGGTTCGAACTATTTTACAACATTATATTCCCGAAATCACGATTTAGCCTACAGATTCCTTCAGCACTCCCTATTATTCTTAGAGATGCCACCAGAGGGATTGCCTCATCTCAATAAGAATATAATTGGCAAAGCTTTGGTCGCTGCAAATATCATATCAAGTACAGACATCAAAGATAACATCATTAGAGGTAGCGAGGAGCGAATCACAGCATTTCTAAATCGCGCTCTTGATGAAACAGAGATCTTTGACGCTGAATTTTCTGCAGCATTTATATTATTAAGCAGTTTACCAGAGAGAATCATACCATTTGACTTGGTTTTTGATGCCTTGAAGAGATTCCGCCAGCTATTTAAGGATACTCCTTTCACAACTCCAAAGATGAAAAAGAAATCCAAATTCGTAGGGGAAACAGTAGCTGTTTTCCTTGCAGCTCATCCTTATATCACTAAAACAGACAAGACCTTTGAACTGATGCTCAATAATCCTGATTCTTTCTCATCAAAAGTTATTTCTTTGGCCGCCTTCTTGGCTTTCCCTAAGATGCAGAGTGCTCCGTCAACACTAAATAGAATCGCAAACAAATTGTTACCAGAAATTCAATCCATACGACCAAATGGAGATTTCATTCAATATCTTGTCCAAAAACCAATGATTACTAAGATCGGATTGATATTTGGATCGCAAATGAAATTGCCCAAATGGAGTTCTGCGTTTATTTACTTGAACGATGAAGATTTCGATATCAGAATCTCTCAAAATTTTTCTGAATTTGTCAACGCAATTCCAAAAGAAAATGTCACTTTTTATATATCGTTCTTAACAAAATCCGAAGGCCAATTAGCGACAAACATTGTATTAATCAACAATTTATTGAAAGACAATGTTACAGCGAAGTTTTTACCAGAAAATACTTTGGATTATTTGTTAGATTCGATATCCAAATTTGGAACATCAAGGAAAGTCCAAATCATGTCGGAAAACGTTGCAATGCTATTGAATCATTACAACTATCTCGACTATTGCCTCGAACAAAGCCAGAAACTCTCTCAAAAACACAAATGCTATCTTTTTTCCGCAATTTTTTCATTGACGAAAACGAATTTAACAAATGAAAAACTGTATCAAATGATGATGGAAATGATAGCATCTTCCAAGGTCAAATCAAATTCCCCTGTCGCTTTGAACGCATTGAGTTATTTGTTCACGGAACATTTCACTGAATTCACCGACCAAAAATTTTCATTCGACCAATTAATTTTTTTGATCGATTTAATGAACACTAATCTCAGTTTAGACCCATATATATTATACCACATGCATGTATTCTTTACCTCCTTGTTACATACATGTATTGCGTCCTTGAAAACTAATGACGAATACTTGTTTTCTGTTCGTCAAATTTTGTCATTATTTTCTTTGACGCAAATTCCTTTTGCTCATCAAATTTACTACAGAACAATTCGCTCTGTGTTGTCAATATGTCCTTCGCTTATTGACGAATATAAAGATGAGTACCCACACATCGGATTAATGTCTGTTGCACAGTCTTTGAACGCATGTGGTTTGTACAGTGATTTGATCTCTTTGAACAAAACTCCGAAAAAATTTGAATTATATTTGAATAGATTGCCTCAAATATTATTGTTATTGCAGTATTCTAATGACAGCAGAGCTTCTGATTATGTACTAAGTGTTGCGCACTTGTTTACAAGGTTGGATTTCGATGTTTCGAAGTTTAATGATTTCTTGAATTTAATTAAGAAAGTTTTGGTCGAAGGAATCATTCCAAACATCGGACATTCACTTGTAGGTGCTAAAAATGAAGTTAAGAAGTGCATTTTGGAAGTTTTGAAGATTTTGACCAAAAATTTGAAATTTGATCAAAAAGAAGAAACATGGCAACGAGATATAACAAGCTGTGCCATCAATCCGATCATGAATAGAGAACAGGAACATTATCCAGCTTGTTTTAGCGTTCTTTTGAACGTAATTGAAAAATTCGGAATTGAATCTATCGAAAAGGAGCTTGCACAAGCTGCAGCAAGAGGTTTTAACTGTCTGGATGACTCAAGCACTTTCCTGAATAAGCTTTTACCTCTTTTCTTCGCTGATTCTGAAAAACATTTTGAATATCTCAAAATTTATTTCAACGGAATCGAAAACATGATATTGATGACACCTCCTTTTATGCAGACATTTACTTTAATTGTGCAAAATCTTCAAAATGAAAAGGTTTTGGCCGCAATTAAATCAAATATTCCGAAATTTGTTACTTTTGTCAAAGATTTCGTTGCAACAGCCATGGAAATCATGGACAAGAATATCGATAACAATGCCCAAGTAGGAATATTCTTTACGGGATGGTCCAATTTCTTGGAATCTTGTGTTTTGTTCCAAAAATACACAAATGTCGAAATTATCGACAATTTATCCGTAATTTCATTTTGCTGTGATGAAATTACGAGATGTAAGAACCAATGGAGAGTTGTTGGAGCTGTTAATGGCTTAAAATCCGTATTTAATAACTTCGAAATCTCCGACCAAGAATCGATTTCCAATTTACAAGATACTCTAAAATCATCTGAATCCAAATTATCAGAAGATGATCGTAATAATTTGAAGAAATTTATATAATTTTTTTTTTAACTGTAAATAATTTATATTTAACTATCATTTAATAAACAAATGATTTATTTGTATTTTTATTCAATTTTTGGGAGATAATCGTCTGGATATAACCTATATGACAACATATCAAGGAAAGTGGCAATAGCAAACACACCGCCAAGGATGGACATCAACTCGGTAACTAAATCCATCAAAGATGAATTCTGAGAACTAACAATTCCGATAAGAGAAACGTCATAACTGAAGAAAACACCAGGATACTTAGTACTGTTACTACCTCTATAGTTCTGATAGCTACTAGCACCAAATGAGAATACGCGGCCGTCTAAATTGATGGGGACTGCACGTAAAAAGTATATCATTTTCATTCTTCCTGTTTTCTGTTGGATTTCTGTATGTCCATCTAATGGATAATATGAATTAGCTGTAGGCATGCCAATAGAGAAATGATTAATCGTATGCGAGAAATTCATTTCGTCAATATTAATTCCAAGGTCTTCGTAATAGTGATCATGCTCGCCATTTATATTGTAGCTTTCTCCTGGAGCAACGTGAAATGTTCCTGGAGCTCTGTGAACTGTTAATGTTCCATGAACTCTACAAGCTTCACCTTTCATTGCGATCAATTCCTCTTTGTAGCCTTCGTCAACACATTGCTGAATATGAATGATCGGTGGTGGCGGTCTGTTATTAGCTTTGAAAGCTTTTCGAACTTCTTTGCAAGTATTGCAGCAGCCAGATTTCTGCCCATAGCAATTTCCACAATATCCAGGATCTTTTGTAACAGAAGAATTCTTTGGATATGATTTCTTTAAGATAGGATTTCCTTTTTCATCAAATCTTTCCATTCTAACATGGCCTTCGTAAGATTCATCTGATTCTTTAATATTGTCTATAACATCAACATGTAAATATGAGCATGGTATATGTTTCATCATGATATCGAAATTTATATCCATTTTTGGAAGATGTTCTGTATCAATAATTCTATTATTAATAAATGGTAGCTGTGGAGTATTCACGACAAATTTTTGTGTTAAAGGAGAGTTTGTCCAAGCTTGAAATCTTAAAATAAAAAGAATTACCATCGAAATTACTGAAAGAACAGCAATTATTCCTCCAGAATTCGTTCTACTCCTCATATCATCATCAAATTTGGGGAAAATATCCCATTTTCTGATGAATTGATACATAGGAATGTCACTTTTTATGAAATTAAAATCAACAATGCATTCCTAATTTTCTATTTGCATGTTGTATTACTTTTCATCCTGAACAAATGATAGCTATATAAATTTATGCTATATTTCGAAGCCTAGGTACTTATGGAATTTTGAAATCATGAAATTTATAAGCTATCGGTCTTTTGATCATGCAGAGAATGTGCCCGTGTAGCAGATATTTAACATTCATTGCTATTTTTTTGATAATAATGAAATTCCCGATCGTTTTTGCTAAATCCTTTGTATGAAATTACAAAAATGAGAGCAAATTATATAACAGCGGTATTACATGATGATGATAGCAAAAAACACAAAATATACGTTGTTTGTCAAAAAATAATTAACTCGGATGACCTTGCGATATTATGATAGTTAAAAAAAAAAAAAAAAAAAAAAAAAAAAAAAAAAAAAAAAAAAAAAGGTAGTGGGGCTTCCAGGCACTTCGTGCCCTCTAGCCCTGAAGATGTTTAGTATAAATGAAGTTTTTATTCGGAAAATTGTTAGTCTTCTGGGTCGAAAACATTATATAATGTGTCGCTTTTCACAAATTATATATGTTTTCATGCTTTGTCACTTTTCTGTCACTTTTCAGGAAAAAAACATTTTTATTATTATATATAAATGAATTTTACAAAACCACCGTTACCGTTCTTTGGAAATAAGAGTAGATGTAAAGATATTATATTGAGAGAACTTAAGAAACTACCGAATGGTCTAACATTTGTAGATTTGTTCGGTGGAAGTTTCTATATATCCCATTTGTGCCATACAATATTCCCAGACTCAAAGATTATATGCAATGACTTCGACAACTATATGGACCGTCTCAAACATATACCAGACACAAACAATATATTGAAAGAGTTAAAAGAAAAGATACCTATAGGTAAGATGGAACGTATACCATTAGATAAGAAAAATATTGTGAGAGAGGTTTTGAAAAAAGCAGAATATATAGACTGGATAGTATATCTGCTAGACTATTATATAGTGGTTCTATAAGAGTTCATGACATTGAAACACTTATGTCAAAAGTTTTATATCTTAACTATACAAATGTTTTCAAAGAGGACATAGAAAAATATATTGAGGGTATAGAGTTTGTGAGATGTTATTGGACAGAGTTGTATGAAAAATATAAAGACAAGGAAAATGTTTTCTTTATAGTGGACCCGCCGTTCTATAACACATGGGATTTTCAATACCAAGTAGACTGGACTTTGAGAGACTCTTTAGAAACTTTAGACGTTTTACATAACCATCCATGCTTTTACTTTACATCCGATAAAAGTGGTTTGGAAACCGTTATGAGATGGTTAGAGGACATACATGACTATGAGTTTAGATATGACAAGATAGAATATGAGAGAGGTCCTATAAACTGGAGAAAGTGTCATAACAAAGAAATTTTATTGGTAAGTAAATGTGGTTTGAAATAGGACTACTTGTTTTAGGTTTTTTCCATTGTGTCATTTACTTATTTGACGTGGCAGAAAGATATAGAGAATATGAAGATGAACCAATGCCTGCAAATGTCCAGTATATGTACTCGTAAGAGATATTTTTATCTAATATTAAATGGACGCACAGAACTTAGCGAATGCACAGCAACCTGGACAACCAAACCCAGAGAATATTCCAAATGAAGTTAGAATACAAACTGCAATGGCAAACTATGGTCAAGTGCCAACAGATGTACAAATGCAAACTGCCATGTCAAATGACGCTGCGTTAGGTTTGCCACCATGGTATGCAAATATGAGATGGAAAGAGTTTTATACAAACCCTGAAGTGGGATATAAACAACTCTATGCAGATGACGCGAACACAGGAGTTGACCCAGAGTATGTTTTCTACCAGAGGAGAAATAGAATGTATGAGCTCCAGTTAAAGAATGCAATGGAACTCAACAGGAAACGTAAGAGACTAGGCGGACATTAGATTTTTGCATATAGTAAAATGGGTTTCTTTGGAAGAATAGGAAACTTCTTTCGAAATGTTGGAAGAGGTATATGGAATGGAATAAAATCTGTCGGAAGAGGAATTTGGAACGGAGTCAAAAATATTGGTAAAAGAGTAGGTCAGTTTGTTGGTATTATACCTAAAGACCCTGAACCAGAAGAACAAGCTCCTGTTATACAACAGCCTGAACCTGCACCACAGTCTAGTTGGCAACCAAATCCAACACCTCAACCGTATTAAAAAGTTATATTTTTACCGTTCGATAGTAGTTGTATATGAAACTAAGTTCTAAGTAAAACGCGTGGTATAATGGAATTATTCTCTTTCTTCCATCTGTAGTAAACCATACTTGAAAGTCTGAAATACTTCCACTTGGTGGTTCGTATAGCTTTGTAGGTTTTTCGTAAAAGTCATTTGCCAAGCATAAGAAAGAGTTTTGAGCGCCAGAAAATGAAGCATGAACAATAATAGCAGCTGGGTCGAAAACATCTTTAAATAAATATGGTTCATCTCTTGCATATCGACTGTAAATATTTGCTAAAGGAAGTTTGACTTTCTGATTTAACATTCTTTGCAAATAATACCATGACATTGCAGTGAATTCTGTATATATTTGTTCGTCTTTCTTTGGATTGTCTTCGTAGATTTGAAATGACACTTGTGAATTTTGTTTGTCATATACAATTCTCACATAAAGTGTGCTCTCGGTATTTGCATATTCATCAGCATATTTTGCATAACATGAATTTATTTTATCTTCTATATTTTTTAACGCAGTCTGTAGAGAAGATGAAAGGTCAACTTGTATTAGCTCAATTTCTTCCCACATTTTTCGTTTCCCTTCAGATATATAATCTATATGAAACCTTACAATAAATGGAAAACTTTTATCTTCTACAGACACAAACTTCATTCTACGAAAGCCAATAGCTTTTGTGACAGATGGGTCTCTTAGCCATCTTAATGGGTAGTCAAAACGATAGCCTTCATGCTTTACGGTCTCTGTCTCAAACTTTTGACCGACATTAGTAAAAAGTTCATCTAATGGTTTAGTTGTAGCAACTCTTGAATTTTCTTTTTCTATTGGAAGCATATTTTATCTAGAATAAAAATGTCGAAAGATATTGCTTCCATGAGAGAAATACAACACAACCGACAACTCATTATGCAAGCTCTAAATAAGAACACAACAAACTTTTCAAACTATTCTAAGATATCTGAGTCATTGAAAGAAGGAAACTTAAAACTGACATTAAACCCAATGACAGATGAGTTTCTGTTTCAAGACAATAAGAACCATACTGTCTGTATAAATCCAACAAAAGGAACTTTAAACGAGAAACCTATAAATGAACTTCTTTTGAAAGCAGATGTTGACAACAAAGCTGACAAAGAATATGTAGACGATGCAATAGCAAAAGAAGAAGAAAGAGCTAACAATGCTTATGCAACAAAAGAACATACTCATCCTGAACTAGCAGACAAAACATATGTTGACAATAAAATGTCAAGTGAAGTGACAAGAGCTGAAAACGAATATTCTAAAAAGACTCATACACATTCTATATCTGAAATAACAAACTTACAAGAAACCTTAAACAGGAAAAGTGACGTTGGACATACACATACCATTGCAAATATTACAAACTTACAAGAAACCTTAAACAGGAAAAGTGACGTTGGACATACACATACATCTTCTGAAATAACAGACTTAAACGTTAGCCTTGAAAAGAAAGCAGATAAAACATATGTCAATGAAATATACCAAAGTTTGATAGGAACAACGAAAAATATTGAAACTATTGTTGGTGACTTTTCTGTCAATGAAGAAAACAAATATTTTAGATGGGAGTTTGTACACTCCTTAAAAAATGGTATACGGTATAAACTCATTCCGAAAAATAACAATGAAATGTATGTAGGCTATATAAAGAATAATGGTACACAAGTTAAAGTTCCATTAGACAACAACTGCTACTTAAACTTATATGGAGACGAACAAAAGAAATATTTAAGAGTTTATGAAATGACAGATATGACATTACCTAACCCAGCTCCAGCACCATATTATTATGACTATGGTGTTGACGCACGTGTAGACCCAAAAAAGCAAACATTATATTTAGAATATTATAGATATAAAAGATATAATGCAATAGAAAAAACGAGAATAGTATACTATTATGAAGATGACAGAAATAAATATTATAGTCAAGATTGTACATACCCTGAAAACATAAGATTATATTATAAAAAATATTCTGACACAAACCAGAAGAAACCTGAAATAGTTGCACTATATTTTAAGTTCAAAAGAGACAATCCTATAATGTCTCATATGTTTGATTTAATGAACCCAGTAGGTTCTATTTATACATCTATGGAAGCAAGAGGTCCTCAAGTAATGTTTGGTGTTGGTGCATGGGAACAAATAGTCGACAGGTTTTTGTATTGTGCAAACTCTTCAAAGGAAACAGGTGGAAGTAAAACGATTTCAGGTGAAAATTTACCTGCACACAGTCACTACATAGATTTAAGTACATCTCAAGCAGGTTGGCATAAGCATAGATATTGGGATTGGTCAGGAATGACAAAAGGTCAAGGATATGATGTTAAAGACGACGTTAAGTTTGCTATAAATTGTTACTGGGATGACACTCAGGGAGAAGGAAACCATACACATTTCGTTTCAGGATATACACAAACAACGGGACAAAAAAGACTACATGCCACCTTACATGACAGTTTACGCATGGTATAGAATTGCTTAGTCGTCATTTTCAACTTCTTTAGCATATTCGTCAGGAGTTGTCTTATATTTGTTAGGAACTGTCTTTGAAAGTATACCACCTTGAACTTTGACAAGTTTGAAACGAGGTCTGACAATAGTAGTTTTATCTTCTGCTTGCAGTCTGTACATTTTGCCATGTTTGCCTAAAACTTCATAATATTCT